TTCTTATCACATCACATCAGGAGATTAGTGATGTCTGTTTACTATTGGCGGTGCCCGCTTCTATCAGTTGGTGAAGGTGGTGACAGCCACATGTCTCCATTGTAAAGGTACATTTTCCTTTCATGATTAGTATGTAATCTGGAGAGTAATACCTTGGCATGATACAAATCTGTCTGCCAGTAACCTTTCACCAGGTTGAATCCTTTTCATATCTGTGATGATCTTTTTTTTTTTTGGTGGTACTGGGGTTTGAACTCAAGGCTTTGCATTTGCAAGGCAGGTGATCTACTTCTGTGGTGATTTTTACAGTCTCTTACTCTCAAATGTAGGTTCAGATCCTTATTTTTATTTCCTTAAAAACATGAAGCATCCTTATTTTAGACACCTCAGTGCTTTGATATGGGGGCCTATTCCTGCCTCCTGTTGTTCTGATGGCTCTCATTCATTGTGCCATGTTTTCCTGTTTGTTTTTATTATTTTTATTATTATTATTATTTGTTTGAGACGAGGTCTCACTATGTTATCTAGGCTGGCCTTGAGCTTGATCTGCCTGCCTCTGCTGGGAGGATCCAAGGTCTGGGATTACAGTTATATACCACCATACCTGACGTTGTTTTTGTGATTTTTGACCACAAAACTGTATCTGTGATTTCATTGACACTTTGGCAGGAGGTAGGTTCCTTCTGAGAAGACAGACTGAAGTTTTGGGGAGTTCTCAAGATGGTGCGAATTGGGGCTGAAACTTGCAGACTGGGTGCAGGTTTAGTTCTGGTTTAGCCTAAGCATGAACTGTGTGTATAGCTTTTTGGGGTCCCATATTTCTTGAGGTTCACCTATGCATCTTGGGAGGGTCTAAGCTTGGTCTTTTGACATCCCAGAAGACATCAGAGCTCAACTTCTTCACAGGAGGCACCAGCTACAAGTTTCGCAGGCCTCACTAGGATGGATTTTTGACTTAAGTGTTGGCTTCTGAAGGTTCCAGACATTTTATCATTAGTGTTGCACTCAAGGAAATTTTGTCTTCTATCTTATCAAAAGATAAGGGAGGATCCATCAGGGCATCCATCCCACTAGAAAGTGCCCAGTCTGTGGGTGTAGGATACTGGGGACCTTCAGGGCCTTGTCTTACGCATGTAGGGAAGGCTACAGGGTGCTCTTGGAGGTACTCCCAGCAGCCTATCCATCCCGTCTAGTGCTGTTACAAACAGAGGCAGGATTCAGCGGGCTTGGGCAGGCAGGGGCAGTGTTTGGGGCGTCTCTGGGTGGTGGCTCCCCTGGTTTGGCTTGCTTCTCAGTGCTCTTTGCTGATTTCCAAAATTCCCAGTGAATAGTGGTACTGTTGTAGTGAAGTGAGAGGACTTAGAGACTGGGAATAAGACAATGCAACCCTAAGGACAGGGGTGTGCCTAGGACTAACCTTCGGCCTGTCTGTTGGTCAGACTGTGGGGTGCGTGTGAGTATGATTTCCAACAGCCTCAAAGTGTCTCTGGTAGGGCCCTAACTACTAGTATACTTTACCCAGCCCTGCCTCATCTAACTAGACTTGCAAAGGGGTCTGTCTGAGCTGAGGCAGCTCCCACAGACTGTGGGCTGGTCTACACCAGCAGCTGGGAGTTCACATACTCCCTCCTCAGGGGAGTCCTTGGCTCACCATGGCTGCTACGCCTGCCCACGGTGTAAAGTATGGTGCAGCCTGGCCCTATCCATTCACTATCCCCATACCCAGAAGGCTTGGCGTCCCCTCTCCAGGGCTGTAGTGCTGAGGCCCATTGACCTGCTGCTTCTATGACAGCTCCAGGGGATGCTGTCATAGATCATTTGTGTGCTGAGGTCAAGGACCTGCAGGCTTTCGGGGTGTTTGTAGCACTCGTAGGAAAGGCTGTCAGAGATACTCAAATTGCGTCAGATTGTCTTTCTTTTAAATTTTTGATAGAATCTATCTCACTTTGACATCTCGAAGAGTAGGCAGAACCAAAGTTGTGCTCTGCATTAAGTTTCCTGTTCCTTTGCCCTCTGGGAGGAAAAGACGAGGGGTAGAGCAGGGCACCGTATAGTGCTGTGCGGCTGGTGCCACACGTGGGTCATGGGCAGGGACTGTGGCCTCCACCCGGGGCGGCCCAGTGCCAGGAGAGATAGGATAATATGATTATTCTCAATTAAATTAATAAAGAATAATTAGATGTCATAAATCAAGTAATCATAGGATATTGTCATGGGAAAAATATGTAGGTAGAATTAATTAGTTTTCAAATAAAGCGTTTATTTTAATTGCTTGAAATGATGGAGTCCTTAATTGCCGATGCATCATTTTGGCCTGAGCATTTCAGCTGTTGTAACAACGTGACGGGTTTGTTCCCTACATTTCTGGGGAAAGAATGGAGGAGAACTTGATTTCATCACCTCACAACGAACCTTCTGCTGTGAGGTTCTGGAAGCTCCCACCAGGCTGCGGCCAGGTGGCAAGTGTGGGCTGGGCTTCGGCTGGCACTGCCCAAGACCTCCATGCCGCCTGCACGTGTGTGCTTACACATGTATGCATGTGTGTGTACTCGTGTGAACGTGTGTATCCTGTGCGGGAGTTGCGTATGTTTGTGTATGTGTACACATATGTGTGCAGCGTGGCTGCAGTCTGTCTGTACTGCACACAGGAGCCAGTGCAGGGGAGGCCTGTCAGATTTCATTGCCTGGAGCCGTGTGCTGGAACGTTTGCCCCATCTTGGCCTTGGTGTTTTCCTGCTGGGTTGAGCCGCGTTAGCCCAAACTGTGTTCTTGTGGCACTGGGCCGCTAGCCTTGTATGTGACAGGCTTAGCACAGGCCATAGTGGCATCTTTGGGCCCAGTTACTACCCTGTTCAATTTGTCTCCTGAGCCAGCCTGCCTGGGGGAAAGCAGTTCCAACTTTTGGGACCTGTCAGGAGTCAGAGCGGGTGCTTGGGTCAGAGCAGTGTAAAGTCCCTTTCCTCCTACAGAGCCATCATTACATTTGAGAAGAGTTAGCTGGCTACAGCCAAAGGGGAGAAGGGTTGTCTGGCTGAAATTCACTTCCCCACCCCCAGCCCCAAGAGAGGAAAAAATGGGACTTAGCAGTTTGTAAAACACATTCCTGGCGACCTCATTCTCTTTGAAAGCCTTTGAGGTAGGGTCCAGTGGTGTAGTACTTCCTAAGGTCTCTCACCAGAAGAGGCAGGCCCTCGCTCTGAAGTTAGCCCAAGGAGGGCCTGGCCCTGTCAGCACCTTCGCCTGGTCATTAAAGCCTAGGCCTCAGCCCTGCATCAATGGCCTTGCCTGGGTAGCAGCCCTGGCCTCCCACCCTCTCTGTCCACCCTGCACAGGCCTGGTGATCTCCTGGGAACCCAGCTCTAGGTGCTGCCCACGCTCAACACTGTGTGATTCAGAGCCCAGTCCTGCATTTCTTGTGACAAAGGGGAGAAGGTGAGGGCATGGGATGACTTGGAGGGGGGTGGTCACACGGCAGTAGGACTGACAATGGAAGCCCAGATGGGCTGCCCATCAGGGAAGTCCTCACCACTCCTGCTTCTGTGCCTTCTTGCTGCTGGGTGGGCCTCAGCCTGGACCTCTCCCCAGACCCCACGTCTGCCTCCCAGCCAACGTTCCATTCTGGAAAAATCCTTCCTGTGTTCTTTGCTCCTCCTGTTCTTTTGCTTGCCATATCCTTCTGGTGGCTGTAGCTATCCCCCTATTAGGCCAGCCTGTCTTCCCTGCTGAGTGCAGGCTGTAGGTGGATAGATTGGGAAGGTACCGGAGTCCAGTGGAAGAGGCCCCCAGACAGGCTATCTACTCCTGGCCTTTTCCTCTGCACCCTCAACCCAGCACATGGCAGTAGATGTGCCCTCAGCCATTGGGGCAGTTCCCTTCTGGCTCTGGGGTCACCGTCACCTATCAAGAGCAACCACCTGTGTGAGGTAGTATGGTACTGTGACTCTGTGCATTGAGTGGGTGGCTTTGAGGGATGCTGTAGCCGGCCATATGCACAGGTCCTGTAGCTTGAGGAGTATCCTCTTATCTGTGACAGTAGTCTTGTGAGGAGTGGCCAGGTGACTCTCCCCAGGCCCGTCCCACACATCACTGTACTGGCTTCTATGTCCCTTGGTGGGGGCTTGCAGGCTCTAGAGCACTTTGGGCCTGAACCCAGGCACCTGGAGCAGCTCACCCAACCATTTTCTGCCTCATTTTCTCCAAAGTAAAAGGGCCTCCTTTACTTTCTGGCTAAAGACAGTCCAGGTGATCAGATGTCACCTGAGGAATAGTGGAGGCTGAGGAGCCCAATTGTATTTTTTGGGTAAGCAGATATATTGGTAGGACCCAAGGGAGGGCTCTTGCTAAACTGACTTGGCATAGTTCTTGCTAAAACTGAATGTTATAAAGATGTTCGCAGATGGGTCTAGAAAAAGGTTCAGGACCCTGAATTAAATTTGAGCAAAGTTTTTCTTTTCTTTTTCTTTTTCTTTTTTTTTCATGCTGTGGGGATTAAACCCCTTGCATGTGCTAAGAAAGTGCTTTACTGCTGAATCACACCTCCAGCCTCAAGCAAAAAAATGTTGCTAACAATTGGACAGGAAGCCCTAGAGGCAATATAGGGCTCTGTACAGGGAACCCAGGGCCAGAGTGGCCAGGTATCACCATGTCTGTCCAGGTGGTGATTTTGGTGGTGCCAGTAAGGTGCACAAGCTGATTGATACACAGGAATGGGGCACAGGGAGGACTCCCAGATGCCTAGTGGGATCATCCACCAGAGAGGTTAGCAGTGGGGGAAAGAAAGAAAGCTCCACACTCCCTGTGGGGCCCCTGCAGCCTAGCAGGGAGCTGGCTCCTCTATAGCCACAGGGCCATTTAGCACTTTTGGGGATCAGAGAGTCTCCCCACAGAACAGAAGGCCAGGGGCACTCGGCAGAGAATCATCCCAAACACTTCTGCCCAGCCTGCCTTCCTGGAGGAAGACCAAGTGCTCTGTCACTCACATGTCCTACCTTGGTCCCCAGGTGACTGCATCCTGCCCAGCATGGCAGCTCCCTTCCTACCCCCACCACCAGACCCCCAGTTCGTCCTCCGAGGCACGCAGTCAGCAGTGAACGCAGTGCATTTCAGCAGAGGATCCCAGGCTCAGGAGTGCCCACTCCTCTTCTCAGGGTGAGTAGCAGCTGCTCCGATCCCAGCCCAGGGGTGAAGTGAGGGGGTTGTGGGTTAGCACAGAGCCCAGCACTCATTTGGAGTGCTGGCAGGGGGCTTCAGGCTACCCGTTACCTGTGCTTGCTGCACTTTCAAAACCTGCTCGACACACTGACCCTTTTGGACCCCCTTGAAGAAGCAGGGGCACATGCCCCTTTGTTATAGACCATGTAACATGTAGGCATTTTCAGTGTGTCATCCTCTGTCTGCTCCAGAGCAGAACAGGCCACACCAGTTCCTCCAAAGTAGCTCAGCTGTCTTTGCCTGCCATCACTGGGAGAGAAGCCAGTTTGACCCTGGGTCCAGAGAAGAGCTGTCTGCTGGTCAACTACCTGCTCTGTGTGGTGTCTCAGTGGATTCAGAATGGGTTCAGAATGTCCCCTGTCTCCAACACCTGCCCTGTCCTTATGCTTGGTCCTCTAACAGGTCTCAGAGTGGCTTGGTACACATCTGGAGCCTACAGACTCGGAGAGCAGTCACCACCCTGGATGGCCATGGGGGTCAGAGTGTGACCTGGCTGCAGTTGCTGCCCCAGGGTTCCCAGCTCCTCAGGTGGGTCATGACAGTAGTGAATGAGGTCCCAAAGGAGCCAGTGGGACTCAGGAGCCCCCTGATAGAGACCTTCGTGGCTCCACCTAGCCTCTAAGGCAGGGTGAGGGTGACCAGAAGGGGTCAGGTTGTGGTCAGATTGGCCACATCTTATGAGGGGCACAGGGCCAGCCCCTCGTCCTTGGGGAGATACACAGGCCCAACTTCTGTCACCTCCACCCTCTTTCCTGGGGCCCTTCAGTGTTCTCTGGCAAGGCTAGGAGGTGCCATCCGAGGATGTCAGAGAGATGGGGTTGGTGACATCTAAGGTGGCTGCTGCCAGCCCAGGTGTGAGACAGTTGCAGAAGGCCAGGCTTCATGGAGGGCAGCAGGTTGTGGTTTGGAGGTAGGCAGAGGTGACAGCACCATGTGTTGAAGGGAGGGAAATGGAACAAAGCCTGGGCTCAAGACTGAGCGCCCAATGGGGAACCACATGGACACAACAGCTCACAGACTGGAAGCTGGGGTTTCAGAGCTGGAGCCCTGGCCATGTGGCCCGGCACGGGGCTGTAACAGCCTACATGAGTGTCATATGGACGTTTGCTTCAGCCTGCTTCTAACCTGGGCGAGTGATGGGTCTGACTCCTGGTCATTGCCTCTACCCACTCTCCTGTGGTTTCTGCCTATCTGCTCTCCTTCCTCCAGGCTTTGGGTCTGTATGTGTATGCGTGTGTGTGTGTGTGTGTGTGAGAGAGAGAGAGAGAGAGAGAGAGAGAGAGATTGAGATTCTGTCCTCTACAAATTACTTGCCTATCACTTGTCTGGGCTGCTGTGCAGCTAGGAGGGACCATCGAAGTGGCTTGTCTTTATGAAGGTGCTCACTGTTCCAGCCTCTGTTTAGCTCAAGGGTGGGTTTCTGTTGCCATTGGCCTATCCCAGGGCAGTGTTCTAGGGCGTGCTGGCTGCTGATCACCCCTCCCTTCTACCATGGTCCTGTCTGAGGGATAACTGCTGACAAGAGCCGGATGAAGATACAGGCTCTTCCCATAGCCTGGGGTTGGCCTGTGGCATCAGCAGAGGTGTGTGTGGGGTCCTCCATCACTACCAGTGGTGGATGCCATATGTGCTGAGGCCACAGAGCTCACCCTGTGTTGCTTGTGGCTTTGAGAGACTCAGGGCTGGGCAGCCTACAGGGATCACAAGGTAGGGGAAGGCAGCCCCTGGTGGCTGACTGCACCTGTAGAGGTGATGGGGCCAGGAAGCATCTGGAAGGGGCTTCCCTGCTTCTCATGGGTAGAAAGAGGCCAGATATGTCAGAGACAGGGAGAGTGTGCGCGGGGCTGGCCACAAGTCCTCCTCCAGGGCCACCTGACTGCCAGAGAAAGCCATTGTCCTTAACTGAGGGACAACTGCCCCTGTGCAGAGACTGCTGTCACTAGCCCAGGAACCTAAAGTGCTTCCTGCCAGAGCAGCCTCTGCCCCCACATGGGCTGACTGCCATCCTCCTGGGACTCAACACTCTTCGTGTTCAGGGCATTCTTTTGCCACCACCTTCACTATCTAGAGCTGAAGAGGTACAGGTGGAGGGCAGGGCCTTCTGGACAGTGTGGAGTCCAGGCCCAGAGGGCAAGGCCTCCCTGGCCCCTGATAGTATGCAGAGCAATTTTGTGCCAGACTCACACCGAAGATGGCTGGGAAGTGCCCAAGGGACCAGAGGTGTCCAGAAGGGTGGCAGTACTGGCCCTATGCATTTAGAACCTTCCTTCCTGGCTCATCCTCTCACACCCTACCCTCGGTGCAATATTGGTCTCCCTTTGTTTTCAGAGTAGACCCCATTTTTAAGTTCCCCCTGGAGTCATTTACAGCCGAGAGGTAAGCCCTTAGAGACCCGCTACTCCTCTAGGGCTAGACTCTGGTGGTCTTGGGCAGCCTGGGCAGGTGTTTGCTAATGCCTCCCTTTCCAGTCAGGTTGGCACTGCAGCAGCATCCCCTCTCCAGGCAGCCCAAACTATGGGTCAGGAGGCCTGTGGGTGGGGACTGCAGGTGTGGAATGTCCAGGTGCGTTTACGTTGCACTAGAGACCGTGGCCTGCTGAGGCCGCCTGCACTTGGCCTGCTCAGCTGTGTTTGGAAGTCAAGTCTCTCAAAGGGACCCTGTGCTTTCATGTTCTAGAAGGACTGGAGAACCCCTCAGTTCCATCTGTACCTGGGCCAAGACAGCCGCTGTGGCCGGGTGTTTTATATTATGAAATATACTCACAGGAAAGGGCAAGGGCAAGTGTACAGGGCTTTACGTTATCTCAGTTAGCACCTGAGTAACCACTTCCTGGTCCCCAGCCCCACCTGCCACTCTAACAAGTGCCACCACCCTCCCCCCCTCCCTTGAGGCAGAGTGACTCTGTGCCTTGTTCTTGATATACTTTTTTCTTTTTTCTTTTTTTTTTTTTTGGAGGGACTGGGGTTTGCATTCCAAACTAGCAAGGTGCTCTGCCACTTGAGCTCCAGCCCTTTTTGCTTTGTTTTTTTCAGATGGAGTCTCACTTTTGCCCAGAGCTGGTCTCAGACTGTGATCCTCCTACCTATGCCTCCTGTGTAGCTGATATTGCAGACATTTCCTACCATACCCAACTGCTTTGTTGAGATGGGATCTTGCTAACTTTTTGCCCTGGCTGGCTCAAACTGAGATCCTCCCAATCTCCATTTCCTGAGTAGTTGTAATTATAGATGTGCACTATCACACCTTGCTTGCTTTATTGTCTTAATGTATGTCTTGAAAAAGCATAGACTAGTTTTGTCTGGTTTTTCACTTAAATTAAATGAAAGGAGCAATGTCCTTTGCATCTAACTTCTGTCATTTAGCCTAACCTCTGTGAGGTACACCTGGCATGCATAGCTCCAGTTTCTTTTGGTTCTTGTCATCTTCTGTGTGGTAGCCACTGTACACATCTGCCCACACACTTACCTGCACTCCTGTTGGAGATACAGCTTGCCTGTTTGGGGCTGTTACAGGCAAAGCTGCCAGGAGGGCTCCTGTCCGAGCCTCCTGATGCCCAGATGTGCACATATCTGTGGTTTGAACCCTGGCCCCAGAGCTGGGGTGTCTGGGCCATGACACATGTGTACATTGGACTTGTCAGCAGACGCCCTTCAGCTCTCCCTGAAGTAGGGGCATACCCCTTGCTGTCCCTCTAGGGTATGTGCTCCTGAGTGTGATGTGATTTGAGTTTTCCAAATATGATGGCCCCTCTTAGAGTGTCTGTCAGCCACTTGGATAAACACTCTCTTAAGTATCTCTGGTCCCTTGCCCATTACTCTGTTGGACTGATACCTTTTTCTTTTGACCTATAGAGTTCTTTTTGCATTCTAGATATGATCAACATTTTTGTATCACAAATTCTGTTTTCAACATGATGGTTTGCATTTTTCACTCCCTTAATGCTGTCTCCAGTGAACAGAAGTTCTTCATTTTAATGGAGTCACATTTGCCAGGTTTTCCTGGCACTCAGTGCTTCTGGGTCTTATGTGGGGGCCTGCACTGAAGCCACAGAGGCCCCTCGCTGACGCCCAGGGACTTACCGTTGCTCCTTTTAGGTCTCTGGTTCCTCTGGAATTCACAGTGATGTGAGATGTAGGCCTTGTTTCCACAGGGAAACCCAGTGGTCCTATTGTCCCTTCCCTCCCTTCAGATTCAGCCATGTTGGCATCTGAAGTCATGGATAGGAAAGGCGTGTCAGGCAGAGGTACTGGTAGCAGTATACCAGACTTCTTGGTTCCCTCCAGTATGGAGTCACTTCTCTGTTCCTTGTTTCTCATGACCTCATCATTTTTGTGTTTTTTGTAGAATGCTCCTAGATACGGTTTATCCAATGTTTTCTCAGGATTAGATTGGGGGTCCTTGTTTGGGGTAGGAAACCTAGAGGGGTGAACGCCCTTCCCATCCATGGTTCCAGAGGTACCAGGGGTACATGACAATCCCCATGGCTCATTGCAGATGAGGCCGACTTTGATTGCTTGGGACGGGAGGTGTCTTCTGAGGCCCACTATCAAGATCGAATGGGTTGAGCATTCCTGATCTGAAAATCTAAAATCTGAAATGCTTTGAAACCTGAGTTTTTGAGTGTCAAGCTTAGGATTCTGGAGCATCTCAGATTTCATGTTCCCGGAGTAGGGATAATCTGGTGAAGTCTATCCAAACACTCCAAAATCTGAAAATCTCCCAAATCTGAAACACTTCTGGGCCCATGTGTTTTGGATAAGTGATCCTCAGCCCAGATTTCCTGGGTAACTGAGCAGCAGGTCACTAGGTCCTCCCCACCCTCAGAGGAGAAGAGCTAAGGTCCACCTTCTGAAGGCAGGCTCTCCAAGAACAACTGGGCCTATGTTAAAACCAGTACAGTAACTAAGAAACATTGGGGGGAACACATTGAGTTGTGCAAATGCCCTGTTTCTCCTTAAAGTTTCTCCCTCTCATGTTAGTATCCCAGTGACTTCTGCCTGCAGTGGTTATTTCTGGGCTGTTCTCTTGGGGACTTCCTAGTTCCCTCCTTCCTCCTCATTCTCCTTGCAGAAGAATTCTACTTTCATTGAAACTAAGTGGCTCAAGGCTCAAGTGGCAGAACACTTGCCTGGCAAGTATGAGGCCCTGAGTTCAAACCCGGGTCCTGCCAAAAAGAAACTAAGGAACCTGTACAGGAGGTTTGACCCTTGTTTTCCATTTATTGATGCAATCCCTTGTGAGAATGGGCTCATAGAAATTTATCTTGGTCGTTGGGTTAACATCTAACACTACTGATATTTATCACTAAGATTATTCTACCTCTGGGGACTGTACCCCTTTGCTGCAGCCCCTCTCTTTCCTTTTGTTTTGTTTTGTTAAGCATTTCCTTACTTTCCAGCACTCCAAGACACATCCCTCACCCCAGCCCTAGAATCGCCATTTCTCCAGACACCTGGCTCTGTGTTTGGAGACTGGGATGAATCAAGCCCTGGGCATTGGATGAGCTCGTTCCTTCTAGGTACTCTCAGTGGGCAGTGCTGGGAGACACCTGTGTGCTTTGCACACACGTGCATTCATTCTCCTGTCTGTGCACATGCGTGACCACACACACACACACATTCATACTGACCTCTTGGTTCTAATAATGACCCCACAGCTCCATCTGCCCCCCGGCCCTCCCCCTGCTTCTTTGCAATAGCTCTGTGAAGGCCCCATCATCCACCACTGATTCATGTATCTGCTCCACCCTGTGGACACGGAGAGGATTCAGAACCACTGCCCTGCTTGCCTGTGAGAAGCCAAGTCACCACCTGGAGCACTGTTGCTGCACAGTTGCATTTGTCTTTAATCTTACAGTGTCTTACTGTTGAAACACTACCCCAAAGGCCTTAGGTCACTTCTATCTGTGCCTCCCCTGACCCCACTGCCCCTCCCCCTCTCCCCGCAGTGCAGTGTGTCATCCAGTTTGTCACTGTGCAGTCAGTCCCTCCTGGGCTGCTAACATCCTGTTTGGTAAGTTGGTGGGATGATTTTCATGTGCACACAGTGAAGTTCACTCTGGCGTGTGCACGTCTGTAAGAGGTGTGGTAGAGCGGAGTCATGCACCTGCCTCCTCAGGGCCACACGGAGCCCTACAGAGCCCAGGTGGTTCTCTGTCCCTTTGTTGTGACTTTTCTAGAAGGCCTCAGGAGTGGGATCGTCCAGTGCGCATAGCCTTTCAGATCTGGCTTCCTTCATACAGCAGATCATGTCTAAGTTTCCTCCAGACTGTCACATGTCAGCAGTCAGCTCCTCTCTGTTGTTGATGGTGTTCGTGGCGTGGATGGCCATTATTCTGACGGCTGGATTGTTTCTGTTTGGACTGTGATGAGTAGAGCTGCTGTAAACATTCTTGTACAGGTTTGCAAGTGAATCAAGGTTTAAAATTCATTTTGGAAAAGACCTGGGTGAGACTGTGAATTAGGTTGGTTAAACCTAATTTGTTTGCTAAACCTAATTCACAGAGAGGAGGAAGGGTGGCTTGGCTATGCTTTAGTGCCGTGGGGAGATCAGGAAGGTCATGAGAGGCAGACCAAGGGGGCATGTGCGACAGGGCATCCCATGCCCTCAAGTCTGCTGCATGTCCTGGCACCAGTACCTTGGATGCCAACTCAGGTGTAAATACGGAGGCAAAAAAGCCTTTCTCAGCTGAGGCTCTGACCTGTGATGATCTGAAGCTCTCCACTGCCACTTTCTCTGAAAATGCAGGCACCTGCAGCTGTAGGGTCCAGGTGGATGCACTGTACTCACTGTGTCCATGTGGTGGGGGGTCTCAAAGCCTCTTCCTCTTGCTTTGTCAGTCAGGGCCGGGACCAGCGACTGTGTCTGTGGGACCTGGCAGAGGGCAGGAACGCTGTTGTGGACTCCGTGCACCTAGAGAGTGTGGGCTTCTGCAGGAGCTCTGTCCTGGCTGATGGGCAACTGCACTGGACACTTGCTGTGCCAGGGAAGGGCACTGATGAGGTGAGGACCAGCCCTTCTGAGGCCCCTTGTTCTATGAGCTGCTGGCACTGGGCTTTTCTTAAATAGGTGTGTGTGTCCTCCCACTGGTAAGGAGGCACCCTGTGCCATCTGTGCAACGCCACGTGGCTGCTCCAGAGGCCTTGGGCCTGTGCATAGCTGGCCCTGCCTCCTTCTGGTCACTTGTGAGGTAGGTCTGGAGGTGAGCCATTCTGCCTGGCAATGGTGGGAATCAGGAAGGGGTCTGGGTGATAGGGCTTGTGTCTCATGGGCCTTGGTTCCCAGCATAGCTCTGTGCATGAAGGAGAATTGCTCGGGATTGCTGTGTCTAGGCCCAAGGCCACCAGGGGTAGTTGGTGGAGAAGCCACTTGGGCCCATGGAATACTTGGTGACTGGTAAGACAAGGTGAAAAAGATGTGGGGTGTGATTATGTGGAAGAGCAGGTCATTACAGTGGCAGTCACAGTTCCAGAGGGACAGGTAATGAGGAAAGGTAAGCCAGAGGGTGGGGAGCAGGGAGGTCACTGTCGGTAGTGCCAGGGTGACCGGAGGTGGTGATGATGTGGGACTGGTCAGGCTGCCCATATTCCCAGGGACAGAGGAGGCAGGGTGCACAGGACAGGGCGATGGGACCGTGGGGGGAGGCAGGAATCCGGGGCAGGAGGACATGGCTATGGGTCCAGCTCCTAGGGTTGCAAAGGAAAAGTGGAGATGAGCCCAAGAGTGGTGAATGTTGGGTCTGGCGAATGTGCCGGAATGTTTCTCCAGGGCCAGAACGTTAGGGAGGAGCGGAAGGGGGCTCCTGTCCTCTGCCCTGTCCCCTGTGGGCTGAATCCCTTTGTGGCTGGCAGCACTGGGCAGGGCGGCTCCTGCCGGTGCTGGCAGATCAAGCCCCGTGCGCTTGGTTTGGCTTGGCCCCCGCCCAAGAAAAGTCGTTTTGTCTCCTAGCAGATCTAGTTCATAAATAATGAGATAGGAACAGGCATTTATTTGTTCATGATTGCATTTAAATCACCAATTAGGAGCTACACATACTTTTCTTGCCAATTTACCAGAGACCTGTTAAAAGTTTTATTAATGTGAGCAGGAGGGGCCTGCTTCCTCCTGGATGGCGGTGCCAGCACATCCCAAGCTGCAGACCCATGATATGCCATCCTGAAGTTTTTGAGAGCTCGTCCAGTCCCCAAGGGCAGTGCTGCTGCCCGTCATCCGTCCTCCATGTGCTCCCCTCTCGTCAACTCCAGTTCACCTCACTCCGTGGAGGCCAAAGGTCCCTGCCTGGTTTAACCAACTTCCTGGTCCCCAGCTCTCTCAGTACAGGTGGCATCAGTATTTTTCAGGAGCAGTGACCTTGCACATTCTGGAATCTGCCTAGACTGGGCTCTGGAAAAGCATCCCTGGCCTGTGCCCAGACAATGCCTGGGGAGCATGCTCCCACCCCATTTGGCCGTCTGGGTGGCCACGCTTGCCCAAACCCAACATTTTTCCTTCTGGAAACAAAAGTTGTAGTTGGGTGCCAGATGGAAAGCTCCTGCTATCCGTAGGAGGCTCTGAACACAGGGAGGCCAAGAGCTCCTCCTCCGACCCCACAGAGGCCTGTGCTGGGATGCCCAGGCCAGGCAAACACAGGCCTGCCCTGTGCCTAGGCCCTGGGCTCCCTGCTCTCCTGCATGCAGGGTGGAGTCAAGGTGCTGCTCCTCTCCATACTCCCTTGGGTTCCAGAACAGCCCTGGTTTTCACTCTATCCCTCTTCCCAGCCAGAGAGCAATCCTTTACAAGCTCCCTGCACCCTGGCTTGCCCAAGGCCCCTTGCCCTCAAGCCCCTCCTCCCTGCTGCCACAGGATCTTCCGAGCCCACAGATGGACAGCCCCTTCCTCATCTGTGCAGACTGCCTGTCCTGTGACTTATGCCTCCTCCAGTGCCAGCCCTAGGAACATGCACGCGTTGAAGACATCTTTTCCTGCCTGAGGCATTTGGGTCTCTTGTCGCTCTTCACACAGTAGCGACAACTGATTCTGCAAGGAGAACCCCTGGAACAGTCAGTATTATTCCTGTAGAAAGCAACAAGGGTCTCCCCCAAGTGCTGCTTGCTGGCTTCTTCTGGGTTCCTCAGGTTCCTTTGAGTCAGGCTCCATTGCTGCTGGGTCTTGGTTTTCAGACATTTTCCGTATCTTTCTTTTCCTTTTGCCAGTGCTTCGTGGATGATTTTTCTCATAAGGAGTCCTGGCATCCAAGAATACCTTCATGCCTCCTTTTGCCTCCATACTTGCCATCTTGGCTGGCTTTAGAATTCAACTTTGTCGTCCTTTCCCTAGCTTGCAGGCTGCTCCCGTCATCATCTAGCCTGTGAACTCCTCCTGTTCTATGCCCTCTCCTGTTACTTAAGTTTTTTTCTGTTCCCTTCATTTTCTACTATATTGGTGCCTCTTCTGTCAGTCTGTCAGCTCACCCAGAGGCCCCTGGTTTCTCGGGGGCCCTCTATGTGTGCACACGTGTGTGCCTATGTGCCTGTGCATACCTTGAGTGCATGTGTGTAAAGGCAGGGCCTCTAAGACTCACTTCTGCAGCATTCAGGACTAAGAGCTGTGATTGTACTCTAGTGCTCATCAGGAACAGAAGGCTGGCCATTAGAAGCAGAGCCATGTGGGGGCACTGGCAAGGACACCCTGTCCAGAGAACACCATGGCCCATCCGTCTGTCCGCAGGACTCTGTAGCATAAGGACCAGGCTGTGTGCCTGGTTTTTTGTCCTACCTGGAAGCTGCCCCCCAGCACTGATCTAGAATTCATACCTGGGTGCTCTCCTATGTGGGTTAGCAAGGGCAACGCAACTCTCATCTGCACAGGCACCAGCCCCTCAGACCTTGTCCTAGGTGACCTGGCCTGAGTGGCTGTACCAGCTGGTGAGTCCTGTCCAGTCTTGTCCAACGGACTCTACAGGTTCTCTGGACCTCACATTCCTTGTGTGAAAACCAGAGGACACCCTGTATCTGTTGGCCTTTTTGTCTAGAGTGGTTGCACATCTATGTTCTCACTGCATAATTGATAGAAAGCCACTCTCACTGGTACCTAGGGAGGGTCAGAGCCAGCAGAGTCCTTCTCAGTTCTCAGAGTGGTGGCAGAGGGCACAGACCAGTCAGACTTGCAATAGAAGCTAGGCAGCCCTGTGACACAGTGTGTAATGTGGGAATTCTCTGCTGCTCTGAGCTCACAGGGTGGGTGTTCTGTCTTCCCTGGGTGAATGAGGGAGCCCAGGCACCCAGAGATACAGGGCAGATGGGGGCTCAGTTCTAATCTGTAGTGCTGCATTGCCCAAATCTGATCCTCACAGCCTCAGCCATCCTCTGGCGACAGCCCCACAGATAACAGAACACCCCACTAACATTGACAAGCTGGCATGTGAGCTGAACCACATGGACCACAAGGCACATCTCTGGGTCCAGTATCAAGGCAGCCTAGATACTCAGGCAGGCACATGGGCTCTAGAAGGCTAGGATCCAAATGGAGCTGTCCCTGCCCCATGCAGCGTGCTCATGTCTTTGGCTGGTGCTGATTCCTAGGCGCTCCTGTGCAAGGCTTTGTACCATTTGATGCACCTGAGATCCTTCAAAGTGACTCTTGCGAAAACCTACCCCAGGAAAGAGATAAGCAGAGGAGGGAAAATGGCCAAGTTAAGTCAGGTTCGAGTACACCAGGCCTGTCCTGCCCAGATGGTAAAAAGGGGAGAGGCCAGAGGTAGCCAGCATTCAGTGATGGGTGGTCACTCAGGAATGATGCAAGCCATTTATTTCACGCTCAAACCCATGCGGCCTAATTAGGAGACACAGCTCTTCAGTCCCTTTGGGGAGGGGAGTAGAAAGAAACTTGCAGCAGCCTTGGCTAATCACCTTAAAAGTCTCCTGTTTGTATAGCAGAGACTTGGCTTGGCGTCGGCCCAAATCAACTTGTTTTCTCACTGTCAGGTTCAGATTCTGGAGATGCCATCCAAGACGTCAGTGTGCACCCTGAAGCCCGAGGCAGACGCCAAGCCAGGCATGCCCATGTGCCTGGGGCTGTGGCAGGTAAGGTGAGCGTGCGCCAGCCACACCCTGTGGCCACACCTGCTGGGCCCTGAGTCATGCCCCACTCAGGGTTTGATTTGTCGTCAAACCAGTGGGCAATACCCCTTCAAAGAACATGTTCACACTGCCTTCCGTGTCCCTGGTGTCCCAGCTGGACCTCTGCTCCTCCCAGGCTGCTGCTTCTTATGTTTTCATGGGACTTGTGTAAATCCCCCAGAGTAATCTAGCTTTGGTGCTCATTCTTCACAGGCCCCAGCGACCTCACCTTACAGGGTGCCCTGTGGCTGGTGGTGATAAGAAGGGGACAGTCAGGTCAGCTGCATGGCCTGCTCCCAGGGGACTGCGCACCCTTCCCCCTCAAAGCCGCAGTCCCAGGCTCTTCTGGGGCTGGAAAGGAAATGCTGACCTCAGCAAGCCAGCAAGGCCCTTGCTGTGCTGTGTTTAGGATTAGTTTTTGTTCCTTCTTTACCTCTTAGAGGCAGCAGTGGACTTAACATGCTGACTTTCCCTGCGGCCACACTGGAACTCCTGACCCATAGCCATTTCCTTCTTTCGTGGCTGTTCTTTCTGGACAGAGAGAATCAGGAGGCATCTCCTGGGACTAGTGGCAGAAACTGGGGTCCAGGTGGGAGTTGCAGTCTGGGGGGATCCTCCCCGAGTAGTCCCAGCATTTCTCAAGGTGAGACACTCCCCGCCCCAGCCACATTCCCGGGCTCGGTATATTTTCCCTCCTGGGGTCACTTGTGTTGGGGTCCAGTGGGTCCATTTGCGGAGAATCCTGGAAGCCTTAGCCCTGAGAGTCTTTGCTGGTACAGAAACAGCAGCGGGCAGGTCACTGGGCAGTGCCTATCTGGGGAGTGATTGGCAAACCCCAGGCCATCTCCCTAGTTCTGTTTGGTTCTGCCAGCTGCCCTGGGCTGGGCCATGGACAGGGGAAGTGGTTCCTGCCTTGTGCCATACTGCCTCTTTGAACTCTTCCCAAGAGTTAGGTGAGACAGGCTTGTGCAGTTGAGAGGCGTCTGTAGGCCCCCATAAGAAGCACAGGAAAGGGGACCCTGCTCCAGGCATTTCTATCTGTCACATGAAAAGGAAGATTGTTTGCCCTTCTTAGGATCAGCTCCCCTGCAGTTTTTTGACTGAAGGTTAAAGCTGGATTTCAGGATCTTTAGTAAGCTTGTCCTGAGGTGTTGCCTCTGCCACTCCAGCCTCTCAGAGAGAAGGCTCTGGGATGGCACAGTAGGTGGGGACTTCTGAGACACCTAAAATGACGAAGCTCCTAGAGCCTGCAGTTTCGCAGCTGGGCCTCAGAGGTAGAACTGAGCCAGTGGCCTCTGTATGACCTGGTGGGCTCCCCTGAAGGTTCCTGGGCACTTCCTCGGGGAGACAAACATCCCCCTACTCTGTCCCCTCTGAAGTTCTCCAGGCAGTAACCACAGAGCTCCCAGGTCCTGGGGAGGGACGCTTGTGGTTGCACCCATTCCTATTCTCCCTGAGAACGTAGCTCATTGCACAATCATTTAAAAATTCCAGCAGAAAAATGTGTAGAAAGGGATGTACAAACTTGTTAAGGTAATTAATATAGTTGACAGAAGGACAAATCACAGTTTTGTCAGAGATATGGATCCAACGTGACACGCTTAGGTACTAAAAGCCTACAAAAACTAGGAAGGTTCCTTTCTTCTCCCCAAGCCTGAGGTCTGGTTGGAAAGTTACTAATATGAGTGTGGCAAAGTAACGTGACCTAGTTTTCTTTCTTTCTTTCTTTTTTTTTTTTTTTGTCTCTGAAACACTCAGATCCATTTTTATTTTGCTCCTCAAAGTGTCAGACTTACATCGTTAGAACAATTATTGCCTAGAAGACCAGTATCTGAATCAGGCCTGAGGCAGCATCACTGGCAACAGCCACCAGAGTGGGAGCTCCAGTCGCTAAGTCTTGGGGCTGCTTCATGCAGCCCCAGCTGAGTTGTGGTGTAGAGTTGGGGCTCCCATGGGACTGGCCTGCTAGGATCCCTCAGGATGCACACCAAGGGAGAAAAGGGGCTCCAGAGCAAATCCTTGCCTATAGGTCTCAGCCGAGGGTGAGGGGAGATGCCAGAGAAGAGCAGAGCAGGGGGACTTCAGGTCCTCACCCCTGCAGTGGTTGGGTAGCACCGCAGGGTGACCACCAGAGGCCCTGTGGCCACAAGAGCACTGTCCGGCATGTGGCGTCTGCCACTAGGAAGCTGCAGAGACCCAGGACAGATGAAGGAGAGCAAGGTGGCTAGATGCTGTACCAGCAGTGGGCACCAGTGGAGGCTTCATACACCAACGAGCTCCTCCAAGCCAGTCTGGTTCCTGTGATGGAGACCTCATGGCACCACACCAAATGGGTCATCTCCTGTAACCCCTGGATTAGCTGTGGTGCTCAGAACTCAGAAGCCATAGGCTTCTTGCAGAGATTGTCCAGAGTCAAGGGCAATGATGAGAGGATCCCCTGGACTGTTTCAGCTTAGAGAATGCAGAAGGCAAGTGTCCCATGGGGAGGAGGACAGGCAGACTCAGCTGAAGCTGCATATTATATTAGTAAGAGCCACCACCGAGGTGAGTTCTTTAGAGTAGGCCTCTGGGGCAGGGTCCAGCAGGTGGCCACACTGAGGCTGGCAGCAGGGACTGGTGTGTGTGGTGCACACACCCGGCTATAGAGAGTTCCAGGCTTATTCCATCTGGCCCTAAGCCTGGTTCCAGACAAGGCTGTTCATCTAGACAGGCCCATCTGAAGAGGCTGGAGAGGTTTGGCTGCCCCATAGGGAGCTGCCAGGCAGAAGGCGTGACTGCTTACTTTTTTTTTTTTTCCCCTCTTCTTCTTTTTTGAGACGGTCTCACTATCTAGCTCAGGCTGACTGACTTAAACTCACAGTCTTCTTGAGTGCTGGGATTACAGGTGTGCCCTACCATGCCTGGCATGACTGCTTCTTAATGCGTTCGGCGATACATCTGGAACAGTAGTGGTATAAGTCTAGCAAATCACTTCGAAGCAGATGATCGGATAAATACCAGCATGTAGCTCTTCCCTGTGACAAGAATGTAGCATTGAGGCCTGGGCCCTACTGCGTGGTAGGGAGCAGGGCCAGTGCACTGCAGCGAAGGACACAGTGTGGTTTCTGGCCATACAGAACAACAATTCCAGATTATGCCTGGGAGCAACCACTGAGGAAGAAGGCATCTGCATGTCTCCTTCCTATTTGTGCATGTGAATTTGAATTGCCATCAGGACACAATGGGATTACAAGCTTCTGAGGACATGTAAAGGCCACCTCTGCACAAGCTTTGGCTTCAGCAGGTTCGCTGTGCCCATGTACAAGTCTAGTGACTGTCTTTCCATCCTTGTTGCTGGCATCTGTCCAGATTCCTGGCCTGGCTCCCCTGACCCCATCACACCACACCTCAGCCTCTCCTCCTGATTCTGAGAGCCCTGATCTTTGTGCTGGCTGCTTGTTAGACGCGTGCCCTGGTCCTCCAGCTAACCCAGGCCTCCTTGCTCGGCCGTGTGAAGTTTCTCTTGGGCCGCCGCTCAGTGCCAGGACTGACGGCTGTGTCCCCTAGGGTGACTTGGATCCTGCAGTGTTCTTCTTCTGGAGTTGTTTCAGAGGCTAAATAAACGAGGCATCTGCCCAGGGCGCAGAGCCCTCTGACCCTCACACTCATTCATCATGATAGTGAGGGTTGCTGGAGACCTGTTCCTAGCAGGCTTCCAGGGGTGGGGGCTTCTGCAGCCACATTGACAAAGCCCAGAAAGTTCATTTTTCACTGAGATGAAGCTTGCAGTTTTCCTGCCTGGTACTTCTACAGGTGACAAGCCCCAATAAGGAATGGCCTCAAGTCTCAGGCCTGGGAGACAGGAGGTAGGAGGATGGGTCGCTGGCACTCCCCAGGGTGCTGGGGTAGGGGACATGGTCTACCCTCTCGACAGGATCCAGTGCAGGCAGATGCTTGTCTTAGGCTGGTAAGAAGTGGTGTGGCCATGTGAGGCCTGGGGACTCAGCTGGGCCACTCTGGGCCCTGCCTTCCAGTCCCTCAGGTGCTCAGTAGCAGTAGCCCTGTCAGACCTCTGCTGATGGTGTAAGCCAACATGGGAGGTGTGTGGGCAGGCACCGAGGGCGCAGACTGAGCCTCAAGGCTGCTGGCCACATGGAAATCCCAAGAAACTGCTCCCTGGTGGTTCACGCCACTTCTGGGCCTGGCAAGGAGAGTCAACCGGTCTCCCCCAAATGCACTGGAGGCCAGGCCCTTCCGGGAGTTCACCCACACTGCTTTTCCCCGCAGGCCAACTCCAGTCCCCGCCCCCTCCTTCTAGCTGGGTATGAGGATGGATCAGTGGCCCTGTGGGACATCTTGGAGCGGAAGGTGTGCAGCCGTGTCGCCTGCCACGAGGAACCCATCATGGGCCTTGACTTCGACTCCCAGAAGGTCAGGGGCGTCTCGGGCTCTGCGGGGAAGGCACTGGCTGTCTGGAGCCTGGATGGGCAGCAGTCCCTGCAGGTCAGTGCACGGGCCCTGGGCCTCATTTATCCTGCTCTGCACTAACAGTCTGATAGGCTGAAACAATATTTAGGCATGAAGAGGAGCTGCTGCAGATCCCTGGCTAATTAATCACTCAGAGGCACCACAGGCAGGCCTGTCCGTGGCCAGCACAAGAGGAAGGGCGTGTGGGCGTGGGCCCACCACTCACATGGTTTGGGTTTCTCCCAGACCACTGTTAATAGCCGTCACGTCTTGTCCATCTAGAGAAAGGCACGTAGAGTCTAGGCAGACCCAAACCCTTTTGTGAAAACTCAGAGGAATTTGTCAGTAAGGAACTGATTAATCAAACCCAAAACACTGTGGAAAACTACACAGAGCCACGGCCTCCGGTGGTGGTCTGCAGGCTGACCCTAAGGAGGCTGTGGCTCCCAGGTAGCAGGAAAGCTCTCTGGGCAAGAGTGAGGCCTCATGGCTGAGTGGGGATTGCTGGAGCTCCCCCATCCCAGTGCGTTATGAACTGCTCAGCTAGTGGGACTCAAGAGTTGCCTGGTGCCCAGGACTGGGCCTGTGACCACAGTGTGCAGCATAGGTTCAGTCTGCATGTTGCAGCCCATCTGCAATGGGGAGGGGAGGTTGGGTCAGGGTTGGAGGTGTGTGAGACACTTCCAGGTTTTGCTTTAGTACAGGTCTGGTAGGCTGCAGGCCATGGGATTCCAGAGGGTGGTCTGGGTACATACCAACTCTGGGGTGGATTAAGGAGCCCTCAGCCACCTGGAGTCTCAGAAGACAGACTTGGCTTTGGCCAACCAGTGGCAACTTTGGAAACAGCCCTAAGACAACAGATCTAGTAGGGATTATGACCTGAGGGGCATCCAGCAGCAGAAATTGCAGCAGGCCTCACTCTTGGGTTCACTGTAGTTTTAGTCCAGAGCACTGCTGACAGGGCACAGGGCAGCCCTCCTCAGGGGGGTGTAGTAGTCCAGGCTTCCCACACACAACAGGAATCTGCAAAATGGGCACTACTCAAGGCTTCTCCTGAGATGGGGAGGCCTCTTCCAACAGCCTCGGCAGTCACCAGCCTGGGCCCTGCAGCTGGGGGACAGAGCTTACTTTTTTGGCCCATCAGATCTACCCTGAGTTGGCATCATCAAAGTCCCTGAGGCACGCAGGTGGACTGGACCCCAGGTGAAAGTCAGGGCTGGGCCCTGTGAGTATCACCAAGTCTAGGGCACATCATGAGGCCATCCCGGAAGAGGATCTGAGTTAGGACAGTGGACAGAGGACACAGTAGAGGCAAGGGTTGCAGGGCCAGGGAGGAGTTCTGGGTAAGAGAGAGACTGACAAGGAACAGAGCTGGAAGGGGTGCCCAAGAGGATACAGTGGCCTAGGGCTGAGCACTGAGGCTAAACAGAGGCAGACCTCAAATGCCCCAGTGGAGAACAGAGGTGACAGACACAGTGAGGTCGACTGCATGGATGAGGACCATGCTATGAGGCTGTCGGGCACCTCTGCCAGGGTATATGCAAAGGGTTCCTCTTGGCCAGAGCCCAGTGAGGAAGGGAAGGGAAAGGAGGAGTCTACCAGCAAGGCAGGCATACATTCATTGCCCCTCTCCTGAGACCAGCCTGTGTCAGGCACACGGTAGACTCAGATTAAGCTGTTCTGTCTGCCTGTCCATTCAGCTATCCTTCTGTCAGTTTTCAGGGATACTCACAGAGGCCCTGCTGGGAGGGGCAGAGCTTCTCACACTTCCACCTGGGAAGAGGAGACTCCGAGTCCTCAGAATCGTGGGGGTGACCCCACTTATGGCCATTTTTGAGAAACTGGATGCTAAGGTGCTCAGAGTGTGGGGTCTGCATTTCCTGAGCTACTGCCTATAGGTGCTATGAGGGGCATGGAGGGCTCCCTCATATGCCTCTCTCCTGCCCCTCAAGCCTGGTTTGAGGACCCGGCAGCACCGCCCCCCCAACCGTGGGGTCCAGTGTTCATTCCCCTGTGACTTGACCCTCATTGGCCTGAGTGCAAAGGGCTGAAGCCCAGGCAGCTTCCCCAAGAGCTGTGCAGCTCCCCACCCAGGCTTCCTGCACCCTGGGTCCTGGGAAGGGGCAATCCTGGCCCAGATCTGCTTGGTCTCTCCTAGAGTGTTTGGAAAACAGCTGCTGGAACTTAAGACTTAAATTTATGGGGCACATTCCAGTCCAGAGATGAACTTTTACTCCACTAATGAATTGAAAAGTTAAAGCAGAAGGGAACCAGGAATTGTAGCCTGGAAGTAGTTGGAGTGATGGTGGGCGCTGGGCAGGACCTGGCTCAGCGCGCACATCAAAGGAGGAGGGCTCCCCTGCCCCCTGCTGAGCGTGTCTGTGCTGTTGGAGGGAGAGGGTCACCCTGTGGACTGGGTGAAGGCTCAGTGCTATTTTACCCAAGATCACAGCCAGTGCTGGCCCTAGACGCGCAGAGATTCCAGGTTCTGTAAAGCTCAGGCCTCTGGACAAGAAGCATCTTAGAGCACCTTGCCATGCAAGCCACCTGAGGCAAGCGAGTGGGCCCAAGCCCTTGGCGTCCTCGGGCCCATGCCACGGCACTGCAACATGGCTGCCTGCCTTGGCCCAAGAGCCACGTGGGCGTAGACATGCCTCCCTCATGTCCTCCGGCTGAAACCCCTAATGAGCCCAAATCAATCTCTCACAGGCGAGGCTGGGAGCAGAGATGTGGATGAGGTTCCCCACAGCAGAGCGTGGGTAATCAGAACCAGATGGCGGCTGTTCCTCGCATTCCTGACACCTGAGGTCATGTGCTGTCGGAGCCACTGGTGGCCAGAGATCCTTCCTGGAGGGTCCTGGCCCGGACCATGGCTCAGCTAGGGACCACAGCAGTGACCAGTGGGCTACCTGTTCAGGACAGTGCTTGGGCATAGCTCAGAGACAGTCAGTGAGTAACGCAAGAACTGCATGTCTGCCTTACAGAGGTGGCTTTGCTGTGGCCCTGGGCTGTCGTCAGATACAGGTGGTACGCAGGCCCCACTCTTTCCTCCCATACAGGGCACGGCCCACAGCCTTGAAGCAGGGACTGATTTATAGTCAGTAGTATTTTTAGGTCTTTAAGTAATAATGAGGCTCCCCCTCCCCAGTCAGCCTTGGGCCCAAATGGACCTGCTGCACTCTCCTGGCACTGTGCTCAGCCAGCAACCCAGCTGTGTTCCCATCTGCAGTCCTGACTGCACCACAGTGACGCTCCCACCCCATCCCCAGCTCCTCTAGAGCCCCCCCCCCCCAAGCTTTGTCGTAGCAGAGCCCCCAGGCAGCAGGGCGAGAGACCACAGGACCCTAGCCAGCTCCCTGCATTCAGAGTTCCCATGTGCCCTGTATTAGAAGGTAAGGACTGCTGTGAACCTAAGGCTCAGTCCAACCCACTGTCCACGTCAGGAACAGAAAAGCAGAGAACCACAGGGCTGGAGCAGATCCTCCTCATCCTCAGAACACGGCCACAGGGAGGCACTGGTCTTTCTCCAGTGTAGTCCCATGCAGGCTTCCTGTATCTCCCTCATTGCCTCCAGGGAAACCCAGTTCTTGTGCCAAGGTGCCTCTGCCTTGATGCTGTGTCCTGTTTCCAGGAGTGACTGTGGTGGTGTAGAGCATTCCTGTCCCAAGGATTGTGGCCAGCTAGACAGTTGGCACATCCGTGCAGTTGGGCAGGAACTGGCATCTCAGCCCCTCCCAGGTGAAGGTGCTGAGGAAGCCAGTTCAGGGGCTTTCTCTGCCCATAACCACCTTCTGTCTGTGGACAGTGTGGACCAGGTCTGTGGATGCTTCTGCATGCCTGGGCACTGAAGGAGTAGGTTGAAAAGCAACTCTCTTCTCCTCTAGAAACATCATGGTTAGAAAATTCCCATAAAGAGAGACTAGCAAGAAAGTGACCATGAGTGGGTTCCAGTAATGCCCCACAGCTCTGTGCCCAGGGGCCCCCTCTTTACCTCTGGCCCAGGGCAAAGTTCTCAAGAGATGAAAGGCCAATGTCAAGTTAGCTTCCTGCCCTGGTTCCCAATCCCAGCTCTCCCAGGCCAGTGGTATACTGATCCCCATGGGATCTGCCCCATGACCGTGCTCCAGCATGGGCCCTCTGCTCCCTTGGGAGCCTGTGTGTGGAGCTGAGTGGAAAGGAGTGGGCAGTGTAGAAGTGGTATGGATGGAAAAGTGTACAGCCTCAGCAGCCAGGCACTTTGCACACTGAGGGCCACCTGGGTTCATGAATGCAGAGTGGCAGTTGAATGTTCTATAGCCTGTTCTACTGCTCACGTACAAGCACAGGCAGGAAGCACACGGAGACCTCAGAACCAGGGTTCCGCCAGATGACAACAACAGAGGGTGGGCAGAGCACCCAGGACACAAAGGCAGTGCTGGCTGCAGTGGATGGCAGAAGAAGGGCAGGGCCAAAAGAAGTGGTCAGCAGGTCCTTGAATCAGTAGAGGTTGGTACTGAGAGGTGGCTGGAAGGGCAGAAAGGCAGGCTGGCTGGGGCCTTGGCCGTGAGAAATGAAGCAGTTGACAAGGTGACTGGAGGATACGGAGCCCAGGTGCTGAATCACTGGTTGGAACCCAGAACCCGCCACCTGTGAGCAGGCAGGGCAGTGACATTCTGGAGTGGGCTAGGACAGGGCCAGTGGTGAGTGGTGGGTGGAGGTGGAGGTGGAGGTGGAGGTGGTGGTGGAGAGGCTGCATGGGCTGCAGGTTATTGACAGGATCTATCAGGTAAGATTCTTTCCACTCCTCGTGGGAAAGACTGAGGATCATGTGTGAGTGCTGGATGTGTTTTCTGCAACTCTCAGATTGACCTGTGTTTTCTTCTCTAATCTATTAATTTTGTAAATTGCATTGTTTGATTTTTTTTTTTCTTTAACATCCAAATGGGCCCAGCTTGCTGGTGTATGCCTGAAGTCCCAAACTACTCAGGGAGTTGATGCAGGAGGGTCACTTGAGCCCGGGAATTCAAGACCAGCTTGGTCAACCTAGGGATACCTGG